CTGCTTATGAGGTTTTCCGTCCATTCCAACAACTACGAAATAGTGAGAAGAGTGGGACCTCAGAAGCCTTTTAGGACCAATTAGTAGGCTCTGTGTCCAGGAGAAAATGAATATACTTACCAGTAATGTTAATAGAGTGACTCTATTAATAGTGATCACCAGGACTAATCGTCTGTATGAGTCCTGACCTCATCTACCCCGAGGCAGAAGATTAGATGGTGCCTGGCTATCGCTACCAGCTGTGCTGATCACAAAGGCCACAATAGACAGACATGATAGAATCAAAGAAGACGGTGGAAAAGAACCCCAAATCACTAAAGATAACAAAACTAGAGGGTCAGTGAACGAGGAAGATCCTCCATGGGATGGATTGCCACGGTCGTTACAGAAGTGGGCTTGAGTTTAAAAGTGACATACGATAGGGTATTATGGTTATCACAAGAGTCCAGAATGAAAGTTGCGTACTGGAGTGTACTCGGGGCGGGGGAACTGTATACCAATGAAGGAATGTTTCTTTTACTTTTCAAAGAGAAGAGGTAACTGTGGGGGAGGGGTGCACAGGGAGAAAAGTGCAACAGTGAATGAATGGAAATCCAAAATCTCTGTAAATGTTCATTAAAATTAATAAAATTAAATAAAATTAAAAAAAAAAAAGAAATGGGCCTGAGCGGGATGGAGATCGGGCGGGGGGATGGAAGAGGGCAGGGCACGGTTTCCATCTGTTGTTTATAAGGTCTCTGTGAGACCTCACGAACTCTGGGACACCTAAGTACAACAATTCTGAGTGGGACACCACTACCTTTCTTTCCATTTGTTGTTCTAACATAGCGTGGGTGTTGCTTCGCTTGCTAGAAGATATGCCACCAGTAAGAAGTCCTGGCGACATAGTATGTTATCGACTGTACTGCTAATTGCAAAGGAGGGAGTTCAGCAGTTTGAAACCACCGGCCGCGCTGAGTGAGGAAGAGAGCTGTTTTTCTGCCGTGGAGATCTGCAGCTTCCACTACCTGATGGAGAGTCACCATTAGTTGAAATTGACTTGACTGCCTGTGAGTTTGATTGCCACCAACGTTACAAATGTCCCTTGGTGGACAGGTTTCAGTGGAGTTTCCAGATTATCTACTTATAAAATGTCTGGCTAATGAAAATCTTATGAATGACAGCACAGGTTGTCTGGTGACAGTGTTGAAGATGAGCCCCTTGGCTTGGTGTACTTAAAATAAGACTAGGAATCCAGGCACAGCAGACCATACAACTCTCTGATTCAAAATGGCCAATACCAGTGCATTTCAGTTCACTAATGCCTAAGTTGAAAGTCAGCTGTCAGGGACCTCTCCAGAATACGAAGAGCAATGATGTCAGTCTGGAGACTAAGGTGTGCCTGATCCAGACCATAGTCTTTGCAATTGCTTGCTATGCCTCAGAGAGCTGGACAAAGACTAGGGAAGATAGAAAGAGAATTGATGCCTTTGAGCTGTGGTGCTGGAGAAGGGTATTGAATATACCATGGACTGCTAGAAGAAGAAACAGGTTCATCCTAGAGATGGTGAAGCCACGCTGCTCCTTGGAGGCAAAGATTCTGAGGCTTCATCTGACATACTTTGGGCATGTTGCAAGGAGGGACTGGTCCTTGGAGAGGAACATCATGTTTGGAAGGGCAAAGGGATAGAGAAAGAGAGGAAGACCCTCAATGAGAAGGATTGATTCAGTGACTGGGGTAACGGGGGTAGTTGTGTCAGAGACAGCACAGGACAGAGCAGGTTTCAGGGCTGTTGTACATCGGGTCGCTTTGAGTTGCAAGCAGCTCGACAGCACATGACAACAACAATGCCTAAGCTATTGATCTTCAAGCATTTCCATTTTGAAGTTGTTTTTCAAAGTAGAATTAAAATTGAATGTGATGATATAGGGGCAATAAGACTGGTACTTTCACTTGATGATATGGCATGTTTCAAAAGGAAACAGTTGCAAACATTCGTTAATCATTTTAACTTGGAATGTATGAATCTCTGGGATAGTTGGAAGTCATAAAAAAGAAATGGAACGTGTGAAGATCAGTATCCTACAGATTCAACACCTGAACTCATTGCCATTGAGCTGGAACTCACTCAAGCTGGCCCTCCGGTGGGTTTCGGGGGCTGTAAATTGCGCCTGGAGAGACTGCCTATCTTTTCGCCTTGGAGCCACTGCTGGTAGGTTTGAGTCTCCAGAGAGGGGCCACCATGGGGTTAACAGCACAACTCCCTGCAGGCCGCTGTTATTGGTCATCTTGAACCAGTCATATGGCCTCTGATGCCCAAATTCCAGATTGGAGAAGAATTTCCAATTTTATTGCATTTGTCATTGAGAATAACATATTAAGATGTATCTTCCCACAACAAGATAAAGATAAATAATCCAATAGAAAAATGGGCACAAGATATGAACAGACTCTTCACCAAAGAAGACATTCAGATGGCCAACAAGCACATGAAGAAAAATGTTCAAAATCCCTAGCTCTAAGAGAGATGCAAATCAAAACAACTATGA